TATGTGTTTCCACGAAGTTGCATCTATCATCACCATTCGTGCTCCTAGTTCACTATCTATTTGGACAATCCCATCCAAAAATATAAACTAGGTAACAACCTTCAGGCTAATGTTTCATATATAATGTTCACATATAGTGTTCTACCTCTCTGCTTAGACAGATTAAGCTAAGCATTCCCATTCCCTCTCTGGCATCCTCTATGTGCCAAGCAGTCAGCCAAAGACCAAGACACTTTCAAATCAGTCTCACTGGATCCTGACCATCAATACAAGGTACATCCTCACATGCGCATCAACTTTCACTCAAAGCTTACTCTGGCTTCTCACATCCTGGCTGATTCCAGGAGGTCTCTTCTCTTATGTGAAAGCTTTCTTGTGCATCCACACGATCAGGCTTTCATCCTGGGTCCCAACTGCTGAATAAAATAAGATGATGCTCTGGACCAGTATAACTCTTCACATTACCATTGTCAGAAGACAAGAAGCATCAGCGTCAGACTGTGCTCTTTGTGGAAGAGAGACACGCAGTTCTTTAAGGTATACATTTTGTTTGTATATAATACAGCTTGTCAGATCAACCAATGCCCCAGATGCCGTGACGTTTTCTCTGCTGAGATATTTGAAAGCTTCATCTTGCTACCAGAACTTTATTTGCTAGTGTTTTATCTCTTGCTAGATATTTCTTCATACGATGTGAAAAAATGAAGTTCTAAGAGTGAAAACACATATATTCCCCAAGCTCTGAAGCTTCCCAAAAGATTCCACAACTGTAAACAGCAATAGTAGTGCCTTTTTCAACTCCTCATTTCATCCAGCATGAGTCTCTTTCCACTGCTCACTCCCTATATTTTTCCTCTCAAAATAACAAAACTTTGAAGGAAAGAAGCACTTAGAACTGCTGTTAACATTTCTTCGGTATTCTAATGAACTTAATAAGCTCCCATGATGCTTCTTACAATGTACAGAAACCTTCAGAAATATGAAAGTGACTCTGTTTATTCCAGCAGGAAGAAGCATGCCAGACGACGGGCAAGATCCATTAACATTAGACATGTTCTACTAATGCTCGAAAGGAACTCTCAAGAGGAAACAATTATTCACTTTGATGCTTTTTAATATTTTTAAATGTGCCTCAATTGTAAGATTCTACCTGTACATTCATTTTTTTTGTTTCACCTGAAACATTACTTGATTTATGTTGAAACTATATTTTCTCACCCAATTCTAATTTCATTTATACCACACTTCCAGTTTCCCTATAATTTATGGGAAGTTGTAGTTTGATATTGCTCCTCTGACAACCGAACCAGTTCCACAAGCTAACAAAGTTTCATGACTCTGCCAAGAGATTTGAGATAAAGAGTTCTTATGAGTGTTTTTCCTATGAAGGATGTGCCCCAGGAAAAAAATAAACTATAATGATTAAAATCAAATTATATAAATTATTAAAGTAGATGTGTTAGTATCCTCATATCTTCTAAGTGCATTCAGTCAGTTGATGGACTGATTTAATTTTTTTTTTTAAATCTTAATTATTACTCATGTCACATATACAAATTCATAATGTATGTGTAATTCCATCTCTTAAATACCCATTGCATGTATACATGTGTGATCTTCATTACACATAACTATCAAGAGCACTCACAAAATTACATATGTAGGTATTTGAGGTAAGGTTTTAGCTGCAGATGGGGCTTGGTGAGGCTCAATACGTGCCCACTCCCAGTCCTGCCAGCAGCTCATGGGTTCACTTAATCAGTAAATCACCTCACTCTAATATTCCCCGTTCTCCAGGAAGATTTGTTAGTACCCCTCTCTGTAAGGTGTTTTGAAATCTAACGATTATGTAAGTGAATTATTCACACATCAATCTTATTATTAACTGAACGTCTGACTGGTAAGGCTAACTGAATTTGCATAAATACCTGTTTATTGAATTTAACTGAAGCACAATCAAACACTTATCTCAGTTACACTTTTAAATATCTTTCAGAAAGGTAAATTATTTTAAGTTTCATCTTTTCAGGTGAATAAGTAGATCCTGCTGCTAGTATGAATTACTGTAAATTGCCTGATTCCCCCAAAATACACTGAAATGATAAAAGAAATTAAAAAGATTAAATGAACACATTAGCAGTAACAAGAGACTTCAATTTACAAAACTAATTGGGATAGAGGGGAAAAAAAAAAAAAAAAAAGATTAAAAGGAAGAGTTTGTAGACTGATTTCTTACTAACAGGGAATCCTAAATGAAGTTATAGCATGGAAAAGCTAAAAAAGAGCACCCAGAATTTGATCACAAGCACTTAAATACCACAGGGTAATCCACAGACCCCGCCTGTATTAGTTCTGAGTAAAGGGCCTGATCACATGGCGTAATTTCCAGATTGCTGTAATTTTGCTCATGCTTAGGAGTCGTAACATGGGAATTGGTGTGCTTTACTGTTTCAAGATTCACTAAGTCCTCTAGAAAACAGTGCAGACTTCCCTGTTCTCCTGTAACGGGAACAGCTGGGCAGGCCATCAGCAGGTCTGTCATTGCTCTTGTCCAAACTAGCAGTGAAATGCAAGGAACCAGCATCACTCCACACTCACCATACACTCCTCTGCAATTTTTATGTTATAGCAATGCCAGCACCTCCTTTTCAGGCACCTCTATGCAAATACACACAAAATAAATAAATCACAGACTTAATAGATCTTTGGGAACAATTAAGAAGCTGAGCTAGCTTCAGTGTCCCACGTCTCACATACTACACCTACAGGAATATATCATCTGCTGTATAATCATGCCAGCTGGATCTTACCCTGGATTTCCACAAGCAAGGACTGATGACTTCCACTACGACCTTGTGTATCTCAAATTAATAACAATAAACTGGCAAAATGAATGTAATTACTTTGTTAATAGTCTATCTGATGATGAATTTACTGATAGTTCAATTATAGAGCTGATTCCTTATATTAGTACTAAAATAGCGTTGTTATTCATTTACAAAGCATTCATTACAACCCTCAGCCCAGTGTTCTGTAACAGAGGATTACAAACTGAAGCTTTAAAATTATGTCAGGCAGATTTTTCTTTTCATAAATGTGAAAAAGCTTAGGATTAAAAAAAAAAAAAAAGGGGGGGGGGGAAGTAGAAATAGAAAAGAAGTCAGACTGAAGGATGAGGGTCACCAACTCAGTAAAATTCTTATTTGCATTGCACATCAAAAAGGAAATGCTACACCAGATCCACTTCACCCACTTCACAAATATCACATGATCATGGAAAAAAATGTTGTGAAATGGCAGTTTATTTTTAAAACACATATCCAGATAGTCTTTTTTTCCTTAACCAAGTCCATCCCTTCAAATATTTCTCCTACAATTAGCTAAAACTTCAGTCCTTTCTAACTATAGAATTTGATAATCTTTTTTTCTGTGGTTGAATTTCATAATTGTCTAAAACTCTTAAAGGAAGAGGGTGCAGGTCATCATTAAATCAGAGCTGGTTTTATATTTCCATCTGCTTCTACCACACTCAGTTTATGAAAAAACATTTTCATGGTGTCTTCTATTTTTTTTGTTTAATTTTACTATGTATTTTCTCTAAACAAACTGAGGAATAATAGAAAAATAAAAATAAAAAAGAGGGACTCCACAAAATTTTGACTTAGGAAGAATGCCTGAAGCACAAAAGAACCACACTTGAAAACTCACATGAAGAATGAGTGTGCATTTAGTTGGCTGAAACTGCAGCTAGGGAGATAAGGCTTCAGCTCTAGTTTCCTTTCTGACCTTGGGCAAGTCATTCACTTGTCTGAATGCTTCAACTCCTCTCATTCACAAAATGAGGATGATAATATTCCATTAAATAGAGCCTCTTCTGTATCTGACTTTTTAATCTCAATGAATTTGCAACCTAAAATAACTAACTCTTGGATTATGCAGCATCTAGCACCGTGCAGGCTCACTCTCAGCCTTGGTCTGCTAGTTATTTCTTCACACAGTAACAGTTCCTACAGCTGAAGGAACAAAAGTTTTGTCATGCCTCAAAATACTGCAATGGGAGAAGGGCTCAGTAACACAAAATCATCTTCCAGATACCTATGAAAACACACACCTTGCACGTGTGGGCACGCATACAATACACATACAGATGTAACACGGTCTGCCCAGAAATTTGAACAAAATGGCTAAGGAATTATAATCGTCATTAAATAGCTATCCATGTACCTTGAGAGAGGTGAAAAAAAGTCAAGCATAAGTCAATGAGCAGCAACAGCTAATGTAGAACCTCAAAAGAAAAGAAAAATAGAAAATTCTACATATGCATTTAAAACTATTTGCCACCAGGGAATATATGCTAAAAGCACAAATCCTAGCATGATTTCACTATGATTATAGAGACAGATTTTTAAATGTGAAAGAGAATTGTCAACATATGGCTCAGTCTTTTCAATTTTGAAGGAATTTTAGCAGAAAAATTCTTATTTTTTCATATTAACAAACCTGAACTGCCACTTTTTTTATACAAAGGATTTATAGAAATAGAGATGGCATAACACAGGAAAAACAAGTTATTCAATGGATTGAGTATCCTTGTGATTTAGTAGCGAAATAAAGCTGACATTCTTTAAAAAGAAATAAAGAAGCAAACTCTTTGAGGCGTTAAAGAAAGTTCTAAAGGGAATTCAGAAGGAAAATTCTACAAAGGATATGTGACCTCTCATGACATTTATAACAAATGACCAAGCAACTTGGACTAAGAAAGACCAAGGCAGTAAGGGATTTAAGACAGACCATCATTTTTTTCCAGCAAGACTACACAAATGTATGATAAAAGCACCAAACGGCCTGCAATCTGAACAAGCAGTAAACATTATGAATTTTTTAAAGTGTATTTGAAGGATGAAAATCTTGCATGAGAAAGGAGCAAGGTGAGTGGCTAATCAGGACCAGCAGGCAAGGCAGACTGCCCAGGCTGCTTCCTTAGCATAGCTGCAGACACCCACCTGTAGCACGCAGAGCAGGCAGGCTGGCATCATCACGCCAAAGCGTTCCTGGTGCTGGCAGCACAGAGTGCATTTATATCAGGCTTCAGTAGCTACACGCTGCAGCCTTCCACTACAAATCAGCCAAAAAACACCCTTCAGTTATGCTGTACACATAGCAGTGCTCCCCTTAATCTCAGCAATGCATGCAGGAGCTTTCCATGAGTTACTGAAGTTTAATTTTCTGTTTGTAGCCAAACAGCAATCATCTATTTTCAATTTTTTTTCCCCCTGCGCATTTTTCTATGAACTAATTATTTCAGACCTAGTGAAGGTGGATTAAAACTGCCACTATGTGTAAGATTGCAGAAATATTTTCAACGCAATGAGAAATTTCCCATTCACACATAGTTTTCTAAAAACCCTCTAAAATAACCTAAACTTGTCATTCTTTTCTCTAAAAGGAAAATGTTTACTATTCACAAATTTGAGGATAAAAAAAAAAAAAAAAAGAGAAGAGAAAAGTAAAAAAAAATCTATTGCTGGGATTTTTTTATAAGGGAAAAAAATCAACTATATAGCATGTCATGCTACTCAGTTGGTGTGAACATCCTAAATATCCTTCTAATATTTATGCAAGTTCATTACTTTAATGTCACAAGTATCTGAATTTTGGAGACTGAGTACTTGGGCTTCTGTATTTGAAACTATCAAAGAATTCAATTAGGAAAAAAAACGCGACTGAAATTGTCGCTTCTGGCAGTCACTCAGGATTTAGTTCCCTGCATTCACCAGACCACAAATGACTATCTAAAATTGCTTAAGTTTGCTCATAACAGGAGAAAAAAAAATAATAATCTTTATTTTCCAGTTCCATTAAGCAATCTCAATTTTGCAGGATGTAACAGTGAAGTTTGCACATTAAGTTCCTAGAAGCTCAATTTTCTTTTAGAAGGTGTTGGGGGGAAGAGGAGGAAAGTGGCTTTCCCTTGGAAAAGAAATAACCAAATGACAGTGCCATGTACAAATGTACACTACAAAATGTAATTTTTCCGTGGCTTGACTACAGGAAGAAGGGAGGTCAAAGATGCTATTAAAGAAAAAGAGGATATATCTTAGGCCATTTAAATAATAATGCATGATTACTTCGTGCGGCACACTTTCTACTGCCTCATTCAAAAGGGTTTGAAGTAATGAGATTTTCACAGTTATCTTTTGAAGCATATTCAGCAACCTAATGGCTGAATCCAAACCTGAGTGAAGGTCCTGCAAAGAGTTCTCTATCCCCCAAAATGAATGAGCTGTGAAATCAAAGATGGTGCAGAATTAGCCCTACCTACCACATTTCCAACCAAAAGGGAAGAAACATGAGAAGAGTGACATGCGGGGAGAGTATACAATAAGTAAAATTAACATTAATTTATATTATATTCTGGAGATGTAGGTGGGCAATGAAAGCAAATCACCTTAAGTGCGACATACAAAGAAAGCAGATTTTGGATGGCTGGGAAACAGTCGTTCAGGATCAGAGCAAAAAGACAAGGAAAAGGTCACATGTGAATATATTGATGCTTGAGAAACATTTGGAGAAGCACAGGTTTAAAGCAGTGCCTTGGCTAGCCAAAGGCTATAAAAACCCAGCAGCAGAGCTCTGAGCAGAGTGGGAAGTCCAGCCCTCCAGAGAAAGGGAGTTTAGCCCAAAGACACCTCGTTGTCTGCAAGCACAGAGGTACCCAGGGACAGCTCTGTGGACCCAGAGGGACCAGACTGCACACCCAGGAAACCATAAAATAAAATAAAACCAGAAAATAAAAAAGTCACCGCAATCACCAGGTGATCAAGCACCCCAGTAAAAACTCCCAGCACAATTCAGTGCTGCACCAAGAAGCTTTAATCGGAGCCAAATTCCAGGGGAAATAGATCTCTCAGAGGCTATCTTTCAGATAGCTGAAAGTCTTCTATTTGCAGAAAGAAAAGGTAGAAGGAAATCTAGTATATCTGCAGTTTTTGTATGTTGATGGAGTATTCAACTATGGCCTCATCTTACCCAGAGTAAGGTTTTAACATTGGCTTCATAATTATTGATGCTTGTAGTTAAGCATAGCTGGCATTTTCTATTTAAGGTCCCATTTTTCCTTGCAGATAAATCTGTCTCACTGTAACCACTTACATTTTCCAAATGGGATATTGAATTTTGTATATTTGTTGATTTTTTATTATTACTTTTTAAAAGTCTTGAGTAAAGCGGTTGAGCTATTTTTTTGGCATGGAGTCTGATGAAAATGTTTTGTGTGTGCTAACATGTGCCGAACAGTCTTATCTAGCACTTTCATGTAACACACTACAGTGGACACACGACTCTGCAAAACTGGACAGTAGCTATTTCCAGCTGGATTTCCAACATTAGCACTCACTTTTATTCTAAGCCCCATTTCTTACTCACACAGGGACCAACACTACCTCACCTTGCAGGGGTACTGTGCTAATTAATTAATGAACAATTGCAAATCAGCATTGAAAGCAACATGGGAAAAACTTGGATTATTTTTTTTTTCTTGTTGATGCAATGTTTCAGTGGCACTCCATAAATAACACAGCAGCAGACTAAGAGAAACACTGACCTGTTACTTACCCAGTAAGAACGCTGTTCAATGAACAAAGCAAAGGTTATCTGGAATGAGGAAAAGGATGATTTAAAGTTTCATAGGTGACTTTGATCCTGGGTCTTGTAAGTGCTTCACTTTTTATTTTGAGCACTTTTTTTTTTTTTTTTTAATATAGGTATATGCTCGGGCAAGGTCAGTTGTATATAAATTAGACTAATTTAACATTACTGGGTGGAACTCAGAGTAGGACGTAGAAAATCCCCTACAACATAGATGAAATTTAAAGGCTTCCTGGCTGTAATTAAAGGTATGCTAAATTGATACAGAGGCAAATCTGTCTGGAGGGAACATAATGACTGCCCTTGTAGCGAGTCGATCCAGGCAGAGAAGTGCTCACACCCATAATGTTAAAGTCACCTGCTCACATAGGCAAAAACCACATCAAAGGCAACCACAAGCAGTGTGCACATTTACCATCTCCATTTGCCTGGTTATGACCAAACAGCAGTCTGAGAATCATTATCAATCAGAAATAGTAAGAACTGCTACCAGGCCCTCTAAAAAGAGAGTAAAAACAACACAGAATGTGTCCTTCAAGATGAAAAGTCTGTAGGAAGAGTGGAGGCCTGCAGGACTTGATGGCAGCAGAGATTTTCTTGTGGAAGACCGGAGGCACTACTAGAAGCTCATGATGCAGAGAGCAAATTCTTCGATACTAAGTATGATTTATTTTCTCAAAAGGTACACAGCACTCAGACAAATGGGCTTAAAGTAGCACAGACCAAAGCATACCCTGCTACTGCTCGCAGGTGTAGTTTAACCCTGGTGCTGGGTGCTCTGGGCACCAGGTCAGGGCTCCTGGCCAGCCCTGCAGCCTGATGCTCTCTGCAGCTCCCTTGCTGCTGCTAAATATCCCCACCTGGGCAAGGATTTGTGGGGTGCTGTCTGTTAGCTCCTTATGTTATGCTTCTTGCTGGCATTTCCCTGCTGTCTTATTCCCCTCTCTCCCTGCTACATAATTGACTCCTCACGACGGAACTTGATCTAAGGAGCCAGGCAGATGCTATAATCAGGCAGAATAATTTGGGCACCAAGGAAAGGATTTGTCAGGCACAGAGAGGAACTTGGTGCTAGGTGAGGGTCACAAGCAAACCCTGCTAGCTGCACAGCCCCAGGCTGTTTCCATTTTGCCTGCTCCCAGGCTTGTGCTGAGGGTCACAGTGTCCGAGGCTGGAAGCTCTGCATGCTTTTACCCATCCACAGCTCTCCTCGTCTCCCTTCAGGACACAGGATTCCTCTCCGAAGCCATATCAAAACGTTTCTTTTAGCAGGAAGACATCAATCTCATCTTTCCCCGTGCAGCGTTCACCTCACTATAACTTTCCCTACTACACGAGGAGCCCCATCAAAGTGCCAATCTCTCCCCCACAGAAATGTGTAATTACATTGTAAACAGTTCAACACGAGTGTAAAAGGAAAGAAACAAAAACCAGAGGTGCACCGCGATGCCCAGAAACTAAGAGTCATAAAATGACATGCCCAAAGACCACCAAAGGAACGACTTCAACAGTTTTGAGCAGCACCTTGTCTCCACTTTGCTTCTCAGATTCAGCATTTGGCGATATTTTCTCCTGCGTTGGCCAAGTCTTCCCTTACAAAGTAATTTTCACTCTCTCACAACCCAGGGGAGCGGAGTTAACATAGAGTAAATGAAATACCATGGCTTCGCTCCGTCTTTCGCAAACGCTGGGGGTGTGAAAGCGCAGAGAACAAGCCGTAAACTGCAGAGAGCATAATAGCAGGGGGAAAGTGGGGAGGAGGCAGTGGCTGGGTGAGCCCATCACCGCTGATGGGACAGAACAGAGCCTGTACACGAAATTAATTTGCAGTGTCGAGATTATGTTACAGTAGTGATGATCAGAGAAAATATTGATAGCAATAAAATGAAATCCTGAAGAAACTGGCACTAAATCAGAAGACAGCGCGTTGACACTATTTATGTTAATTTCTTCAGACTTCATCCCTGTTGGCAGTATTGTTGACACCTCGTGTAAGCAAGCAAATAGCTCGCAAAGAGTCAGGGAGGGGAAGTAAATGATTGCAGTTGCCATTAGACTCCCATATATTGTAGTAAGCAAATGTACCGGCTTGTTATGACCTTGATCTAATAACCCCAGTAGTTGGCTCAAAGGCTCGTCAAGTACTCCATTTTCAAAAGCATTTCACAGAGAATGCTTAGAAAGTTGTGTTTCTCTTACCAGCTTTCAATTATTACAGGCAAAAGACTAAAACAGACCAGACTAGGAAAATAAAGCTGGGGAAAGCCCGGAAAAAGTGAATGAAAAGCAATAAGCAAATCTCTTTCAACAATCAGGAAGGTTTTCCAAAGTATTTAACAGGTCACAGAGAGCTGGGGACACTTACTTGGGTCACCTCAGCACTAGGTTAGTAAGTGTCCTTTCCAATTTCATCAGCACAGAACCTGGCTCCACAAATGTACTCCTGTGCATGTAAATAACTTTAAATAAATTACAGCAAAGTCCCATCAGCTTGTAATTCAGTCACTCTGATGGAACTTCTCACAGGGGCTCCTTCCACCGGGACTGAGGCTAAACTGAATCATAAACTCATTTATTCAGAACAACAAAGGCTGCGTTTGGCCTCCTCCAAAGCCAAAATACCCCCCAGCTTCAATGGGCTTTGAACCTTCCACCATGTTCCCACCAGCCCTTTGCCTTGGCTTAATGTAGCCATCACCCCTCACCTTCAGGTGCAGTGGCCATTTGGTCAAATTAACTCTTGTCCAATTCAGGTGCTGGGGTTTGGGAGCTGGCTGTGTGGCTGCTGCTCTTGCATTCTCATTCCATACAGCTGCTGCTCCTTTTTAATTTGAAAATGACTTTGTTATACTTAAATTGCTTTCAAAGGAAGTCTGTCCAGGCCAGCAGATGCACTAATGAGGATTCTTTATCTTTAAAATGTGTGAAGGGTAATTTCCCTGTTTCATTTAATTTTAGAAATATTTTAGTCTGTTATTTTTCAGTTCATATTTAACACCAGAATGAAGGGACAGAAACATAAGATTATTTGTTGTAATCTTTAATGGATTAGTAGTATCGATCAGGGAGCTTTGGGTGCTGAAGCAAATTTGTCCCCTAATCTTATAGACGTGTTTATCTATTTACCAAGAAATCACAGTATCAAGCTAGCAGCAGTGTGAGGCCAAGGGCTAGCACTTCTGCTTCCATAGCTGGAAACAAGCCCTAAGGAAAGGAAATAAATTATATATCACCATGCATGAGGGTGGGGATTGCTATTTCCTTATATAACTCAGAAGTTCACTTAACTTCATCTACCCAGAGCAGTTTTATCAGGGATAGAGAAATGCAAGACAACATTCTGTATTAAATTAGGTAGTAACCTGTGCAGCGCATGTTAATGGGAAGAAACGCTGCATCACAGGGATTTCTTTCTGTTTTAATTAGATGCAATCAGTTTGACAAAAGGACACTGAGTGGTCTTGATTTTCATTTCAGAGAGATGTGATCATACTTACAATGTATTTGTCAGGCAATTTAAAAAAATTCCATATTAGATTATTAAATTAACTCTTTGCATATATCATATTGGTAAATTAAATCTAAAGTGACCTTGGAAGAAGCAAAGTTTCAAATTTTAGAAAGGATAAGTTTTTGAAGGGAAAATTAAAGTATACTGAGTTTCACAGTGTGTTCACTATGGGCTCTACATAACATTTTAGCTCTTCCCACTTAGTTTGCTCTATCTGTATCTGAAATCCAGAACATTTGGGCCCAGGATGTTCTCTAGCCATTTTCTTTCAAAGTACTTCCAATTTGTGTGATTTTAACATCTCCCATCAACACCTGTCTTGTCTCATTGCTCCCAAACCCTTTACAGAAAGAGGGTTCTGGCTTCATTCTGGATTCTTACTTCATTTGCAGTAAGAAAAAAAAAAAATTCAGGCACTGGCTTCCAGTCCTCTAGAAGGGAGTGACCCCATCAGGCTGTGGCAAAGGGGATCAGAAAGGCGAGGAGGACTGCAAGACCTGTTTGGGCATGGTGAGAGGTAGAACAGGACTTGTCCCAGCACTGGTGGAGCTGAGGAGGCAGTGGAAGCTTGCCCAGAAGGTTGAGGAGGGGAAGAGGGACGGTGTGGCTCTCAGCTGCACAAAGGCAAGTGCAAAGAGGACTTTGGTGCCCAGCAAAGAAGATCTACGATGGGAATGAAGACAGGAAAACAGAAATTCTATTTATGCCATGGGTCTTGAGAAGCTTCAGCACTTCTAGTCATGTGGCAGAGACAGTGTAGGATAAGAATTGTAATACCATGAAAACGAGCACTGTAAAGTAAGCTGAATAGCCAAACGAGCCAGAAAGAATTCAAACCACCAGAGCAAAACACAGACTTCTTATAATCTGACAGGACAGACAGCTGTCTTGCATGAAGTGTATTTTAGAAAGTGGCAAGCTGGATTCAGATATGATAATGTTTCCATTATCAAGACTTACATATAATATTTGCTTCTGGAAATTAAAGTTCATCGCATTGTGGATAAGGTATTTGCACAGAATAACTTCTGATCTCTGCTTTTTCTTGCTGCCTGGTTCCTCGTTCCTACCACCAAACGCCCGTCTCAATCTGTATGTGTCAGTCCTCTTCCTTTATCTGAATCTGATGCCACTACTTATTCATAGGTTATTTCAGTTAAACTGATCTTTGCTCAAGAGATGGCACTTTTGGGTGGACTCGGGAGGCTGCAATGTTTTTTAGCGCTGCTATGGCTAAAACATGTCAGCTGGGACTGATCCTGTTCCCACTTTCTTCAGCTTTTGTTCTGTGGGTTAGCCAAGCACATCTGTTTTGTCCTGTGTAAACAACTGCAGGTATTTTAGAAGCTAAGGATGAGAACTACAAAGACCTGGCAGCACTGACTGGAGAGGTTTCCTGAAGCACTGCTCTGAACCACTCTCATGAGTAACTCTGTAAGCAGCACATTAACCCCAAGCTTCAGAAACCATGTTCAGCTACATCAAAAGCATCCCACTGCAACAGACCTCCAGTTCCTCCAGGACATCCTCAACCCAGATGTACACTCTTCTCATTTGGGGTTAGGAAAAAATACACTTAGAGGACTGTAGACATCGCTCTACCTCTGTTTCATAGAGTGAAGCAATGAGGTTTCTGCAACTCAGGATCAGTGCAGTCTTCCATGTGGCAACATCTTTATTTTCTCTGGTTTAGAAGAATTACCACAAAGACTTTTTTCTCCTGGTAGCTGCAACGAAACAGTTTGGAAAAGTTCCTTGTGGCAGGAAATTCACCATTTTTTCCTCCACCTGCTCCAGGTTGGGCATATGCTCAAACACAGACAGATTCAGAAGACAAAGCAATGAGGTCTATAAAGGGCATTATCACTGGAAAGAGACATGGTGATTTATAATCTATACACTCTGAGCCAATGCTTTATTACAAGGAAAGGCCTAAAGCTATGAACATTGTGCCAAGAATACCAAAAGACTGACATCCACTAGAAGCTAAGCATTCATGTTTGATAAACTGGTAATCATTGCTTGTATATTTCAACAGAACAATTGGAAAGATAACAAAAAAATCTCATCATATGATTAGTTTTTCCCCTGCTTTTGGTGGTGGAGGTAACAGGAGAGGGAGTAAGGACAAGGGGAGGTCAAAAGTTAGCAGTGTGTCTTTCACCCTCAGCCAGAACAAAGCCTACCCACTTTATTCTGACCTGAAGCAACAACAAAATCCACACATTCAGCTAGATGTAAATGCTGTCAAGTGCAAACACTGTTTGATCGGTGCTCACATACACACTAATCTCCATGCTTTATCATTTTTTCCCAGTGCTGAGGGCATTCAGGCCTGCTCACCTAAAGAACCATCCCACTTCTGCACGAGCAGAAGAGTCTGCTTGTAAAAAATGTAAACATTAAAAAAAAATGCTGCAGAAACTTTGGAAATGGAGCTGTTGTCAGCAGAGATTAAATTGTGTACCAACAGCACGACATTTATGCACTGCTACTTAAACTGTGACAAATGGTTGCAAACATGATAGTTTCAGGATCTTTAATCTAAATGAATGGTGCTTTTAGCCTATCTCTGACTTGAATTCAGTTTGGAAATAAAGAAGCATTTCCTACGCAGTTGTGTACAGAATCAAGGCAGCAAGGACTGAAAGTCACAGCTATCTGCAGCCCTGCCCTGCACTGCGTGGCTGCCGTCATGTGGCTATTCCCCTCTGAGTCCCGAGCAATGCTTGCAAAGGAAATTAAGTTTTTACCTACTTGTCAGCCTCACACAAAGTGTTTGCAAGGAGTTTTTTTCTCCTCTCTCATTTTTCTTTGCATAACAACATGCATAATGTAAGCTCATTTAAGGCAGCAGAGATTACATTAAAATGCGATTTTTAACATTACAAATATCTCAGATGGCGAGTTATTCAAAAATCATTTCAATCATTATCGGTTTAAATGCAATATTAACTACCGGAGGAAACTGATGGCATAGGTAGTTTATCCTCCTCCAAATTCACTCTTGCATCATCCTCAGAGTCTCTCAACTGAAGGAATTAAAAGCGCAGTTCTTACAAACAAGTATTTGCAAAGTGATTTCTTAGTGTTTATGGTCTTGTAATACAATATTTATAAAACAATCTAACTGCAGACTTTCCAAGGTGTTCTTCAGCTGATAGCACAAGAGAAAAATTGACTCTGTTATGCCCCCCAGTCCTCCCCGGTCTCAATCAGTGGCTTCACTGTGTCACCTGGGGATTTCCGAACTGGAAATAAAAATGAAAATAATAAAAGATAAAAAAGATAAAATAATAGAGAGAGAGACATAAATAATAATATAAATATAAATAAAATAAGAGGTAAACATATTTAAAATAAAGTAGGAAAGAAAGAGAGGGGGAAGGGGAAAGGCAAGGGAAAAAAAGAGAAAGGGAAAGGGAAAGGGAAAGGGAAAGGGAAAGGGAAGGAGGGAAGAACAAGAAATGGAAGGGAAGGGATAAGGGAAAGGGAAGAGTAATTAAAAAGCAAAAAGGAAAAAGGAAAAGGGGCAAGAAATGGAGAAGGGAAAAGGAAAGGGAAAAAGGAAGGGGAAAAGAAAGGGAAAAGTGGAAGGGAAAAGGGTGAGAGGCACGGGTAAACGCTGTCTCCCCCCGCGGGCGCGGCCGGCCCCGAGCCGTGAGCGCAGCTCCGCGGGCTGACGCCGCCACCTGGCGGCCCCGGGCCAGCAGCGCCGGGCGGGTGGCGGAGGGGGGGGATCGGGCCCTGCCCGCTCGGGGGCTCCGCTCTGCTAGTGGCTTCTTCAGCGGGTCCTGTGAGCCGGGACCGGGATATCTGGGGCTGCCTGAGGGCTGGGGGTCACGGCCAGAAGGCGCTGGGCTGCTCTGTGTGGGGGAAAGGCATCGTGAGGGCTCAGAAGCAGATCCAGACAGGGAGAAGATGAAGCAAACGCCTCTCTATAGTGTCAGGACCACGCAGTTCAGGTGGGATACGATTCATTAGGCTTTTGTGTGAATTTTCAGGGCAACAAGTGCATACGAGCATCCTGTTTGAGTGCACGTGTCTGTCAGTCCACGCCAACTTTTTCATCTTTCAGGTGGTTTAACCAGGTCTGGCAGAGGGGCAGCAAGCTGAAAAACCCCATGCAA